TCCCTACTCCAAAGTGTGTGAATGATGTGCAGCGCTTCTTGAGCAAGGTGTAGTATCTCGGGTGTTTTGTGGATCATCTTTCTGATTGCACTACACCATTGCGAGCGTTGCTGAAGTCATCAGCGTCATCTTTCATTTGGTCTCTGGATTGTGAACGGGTGTTTGGGGATCTCAAAGAGTTCTCCGGTTTTGGCATATCCTCACTACACTCGACCTTTTATTTTGCGCATGGATGCTTCTGACATTGGTCTTGGAGGTGTGTTAATGCAAGAGAGCTCAAGTGTGCCTGGTCAGCGCCATCCCATTGCATATATAAGCCATACATTACAACCAGCAGAGATGAACTACTCCACGACAGAGAAGGAGTGTTTAGCAGCAGTCTGGGGTTTCGAGAAACTTCATGCATATCTACATGGCTCTCGTACGTTACTTGAAGGTGACCATGCTACTGTTACTTCGTTATTAAAGCGGAAGAACCTGGTTGGTCGTACTGCTCAGTGGGCTTTGAAGCTTCAGATATATGATTTTGATGTTGTTCACAGCCCAAGAAGTTCTATGGCTGATGCTAATGCCCTTTCTCGAGCTCCTCTTCCTTCTTCACTCTCTTCTCGTGTTTCTAACGAGCCTGTCGTTCTAGCATCTGTGGATTTTCTAGACGAGGATTCTATGCTGTCGGCAGTTGCTGTACTTGACATTCAATGTCCACAAGGTGCAGAGCAAGATTTACCTTCGCTTGATGAGGTTCGCGAGGCTCAAAAGATTGAGCCATGGATTTGAAGGCTTCGAGATGGGTTTAAGAATCCTGCATCACTTGCTGATGACTTGCCTTTTCGGCATTTATATTCTCAACATCGTCTTGAAGATGGCCTTCTTTATTTTGTGGGGATAGATCCTGATGATCATTTACGGCTGGTGGTGCCTTCTATCTTTATTCCGCGGTTTCTCCATGCCTACCATGATTCTCCTGTTCTAGGTGGGCATATGGGACATCGTCATGTAATCGAGAAGCTACGTAGGTCTTTCTATTGGCCGGAGATGCGACGTGATATTATCTGATATGTGCGTAGCTGCATTTGGTGCCAAGCTCGTAATACTCCCCCTCGGGCTGCAGAAGGACGGTTGGAGTCAATTGCAATTTCCTGTCTGTTTGAGTTGGTGGCGTTTGATATTATGGGACCTTTTCCACGGTCGACTGCTGGCAATGAGTATGTTATTATTGCTTCTGACTACTTGACTCGTTGGGTGGAAGTTGGTGCTTTTGCTAGCGCCTCTGCAACTGCTGTTAGATACTTCCTCCTCAATCGAGTGGTGTTCCAGCATTCTTGTCCAGAGCGGATTCTTTTGGATAATGGTCCCACATTTATGGCTGAGGCATTTCATGTTTTGACGTCTCGGTTGGGGATTCGCCACACTTTCACAAGTGCTTATCATCCACAATCAGACGATCTGGTGGAATGGCTCGTTCGGACAAGGGGATGATTGCGAAGTATGTGAACTTTCAGCATTCAGATTGGGATGGTTATTTGCCGTCTTTTCGGTATGCATATGTCACTGGGGTGCAGAGTTCTGTTGGTGCTTCACCACATAAACTCCTATATGGTCATGATCCAATATTACCAATGGAGCTAGGTTTACCTTCGCGATTGCCACAAGCTGCGGATGCTAGGTTATGGGATCAATATTTGACAAGCATTCTTCCATTTGTCCAAGCGGAGTCTGCCGAACACTTAGGCCGCGTACAAGTGGGACAACAACGGCATTACAACTCCCATCATCGTCCATCTGCAGAGTACAAAGTGGATGATTTGGTGTTAGTCCGTTTTCCCCATCTTACGGTACATGGTTTATCTAAGGGGTTCCTTGCACAGTGGAAAGGACCGTATCGAGTGTTGCGGCAAGTTGGACCACAAGTTTATGAGGTTCGGCATGACATCTAGCAGGCCGATCCTCTAGAGATTGTGCATGTGCAGCGGTTGAAACACTTCATACAAAGGGATCAGGAGTGGTTAATACCATCTACAAATCCGCCGATGCCTCCTCCTAATGTTCCTCCAGATCTCGGCCCATTTACAAGAGAAACGATGGTCTTCCATTATTCCGAGAGGAGGGGATGATGTGAGGGCCAAGTGTATGGCTACGATGCCGTATACTAATATTAGCGTAGTGGGATTTTGGTAGCCGTCGGATTGGTTTCAATTTGGACCACTCACTCCTGTATATAAGCTAGAGTTTTTGGGCTAATTGATATGCACATTTCTGTGTTCCCTTTCTATATTCCATGCACTCACAAAACAAATTAAACTATAATAATCATTATTTATTTTTAATTTTTATCCTTAAAAAATATGAATGGTGGTATGAAAAAGATAAAAATAATTAAAGACAAAATATATTATAGTTATTTAATATTAATAAATAGTTTTCAATATTTTATTTAATTTTTGGACTGAAACAAGATGTGGTAAATTTTTTATTTTATATATATATTAAATTAAAAACCCTAAACCGGTTATAAGAGGCATTTAAAAGCTATAAGATTTACAAAAACTGATAAAAAGTTATATACAATTTCCCTTTATTTTACAGGAGAATATTCTTCCAGGGGTAAGAAACCGATGACGGTTTTTCTTTAACGTGACCGTCATTTTCCGTTGGACATCCGATGGCGACGATATCTCCACGTGACGTATTATTTCCCACTTAACCGCTGTTTCATTGCTCCTCTCTCTCCCAAGGCTGTGAAGCAGAAAGAATGGCGATGGCGATGGCGAGCAAAGGCGCCGTTGGCGGAGATTATGGAAGGCGCGTCGCCCAGTCTCTATCGTCACAGGTGGGATGTTCTAAGATCGTCGCGATTTCCACCCTGTCGAGGGCAGGATAGTAGAGGCCGCATGAAGGAATTCCAGAATATCCAGGATTTCGAGGAATCCATCTCCCAGCGATGGCGGGGCATGAATCGCGGCGCGGGGGCAGCATCGGCTTGCGTCGGAGCTCGTCAGCGCATCATCATCGTGCGGGCGATGCTGCTGGCCCGCATAAGCTGCTTAGAACGGTCAGCCAGAGGTTGAGAGGTCTCATCAGCGGCGAGATCGTTGCCAGTGTCAATCACGGTAGCGGCAGGCTGTTTTTCGGGCGAGACTTCGATGATGATCGCCCCGGGGCTGCCAGGATCATCCACCAAGAACAGGCAATAATTGATCATCACACGGGCAAGTCGAGGCCAGGTTTCTTCCTCAACTTCTCGCTGGGACAGAGATTTCCAGGAAGAACGCTCCAAGAACAGGAAGAGGAAGAGGCCGAGCTCCCAGAGGAACCAACACCCAGATGCTTTAGCAGGATGAGGAGCAGCCGCCGCGAGAAGCTACTCGCTTCTTCATTAGATCCAAGCGGCAGCGCTAGAAATCTGTGCCGGGGATGCTTTGGGTCAACGATCCCTCCGGAAGAGCTGCCGGATTCATCGATGTTTGGACAGGATGATGGCCAGCAGCAGCAGCATTCCATCGTGCTCCCGGACGACGTTCTCGAGATGTGCTTGGCGAGGCTTCCATTCGATTCCCTGGTCCGAGCTCGCGCGGTGTGCAAGAAGTGGAGTTCCTTGACGCGCTCCTCGCATTTCTTGCAGCTCCGGGACAGGATGGGCTCCCCCCGGCCATGGCTCTTCGTGCTTGGGCTGTCGAGAGATGGAGTGAGCCTGGGCCAGATTCAAGCCTTGGATCCCACTCTCGATCGGTGGCGCTCCATCCGAGCCGACGCACTGGCGGGGCGTTTGCTCTACTCGGTGGCGTCCAGTGGATCCAAGGTCTTCATGGTCGGGGGCTGCTCGGCGCGGGCCAGCAGCGACAGGGAGAAAGGAGGTTTCCTCAAGACTCACAGGAGCGTTCTCGTGCTGGATGCTTTCACCGGGCAGTGGAGCAAGGCCGGGATTGGAATGAAGAGCGCGAGGACCACTCCCGTGGTGGGAGTTTTCGAGATGACGCAGGCAATCAAGCTCAACCTCTTCGCAGCTCCAGAGAAGAAGACCACTAGCACCACCACCGCCACCACCACCAATCACAGGAGGATTGCCAAGAAGCGATCGGCAGAGATTGGTGTCTTCCGGGGATCATCGTCCACAGGACCAGGTGGTGGCTCGTCATTCATGGATCAGATCTCTGCGCGACGCTGGCAGCGAAGTTATAGCTTCCGGGAGCTGACGACGAGCTTGGGATCATCGTCGTCAGCCTCGAAACCATCTGGCAGTAGCGGCAGCGGCAGCGGCAGTGGCAGCAACAGCGCTTTTGGATTGATCGTCATTGGCGGGCAGGACGAGCGGAACCAGACGCTTTCCAGCGGCGAGGTGTACGACCCATCGTCCAGCTCGTGGAGGGAGATCGCGGCGTGGCCGTGTACGGAGCTTGGATCACTGTGCACGGGGGTGGTGTCCAAAGGCGTGCTTTACTGCTACTCGGACAGTGACAAGCTCGCGGCGCTGGATCTTGAGCGAAACTCCTGGCACGAGATCGCCATCTCGGCCTCGGGCATTCCCTCGCGGATCCAGGACTATCTCCCCAAGCTGGTGGTGTGCAAGGGCCGGATCCTTCTCGTGGGCGTCGTCTGGGCATCGAGATCACAGCACCAGATCAATGGGTTCGAGCAGCAGCAGCAGCAGCAGCCCAAGGTCGCGAGGAAGATCTGGCGATTGGAGCAGGATCGATCATCCTCCTGGCGGTGGAGCGAGGTGTCGCAGCACCCGGACGCGCCGCTCGACTGGAACGCGGTGTTCATCGGCCATGGCGACAGGATCTTCGGTGTGGAGATGTTTAAGATCTTCGGGCAGGTGCTGGATTTCGTGACAGTGTGCCAGTTCGCGGGCTCGCGGCGCAAGCGCGCGAGCTGGGATCGCGCGTCCAAGCAGAGAATGGGGCAGGACGTGGATTCCTCCTCGTGCCTCACCAAAGCAGCAGTCATCGTCCAGCTATAAACCCTAAAAATGCAGAGCTCAAGAACCCTAAAACGCCATAAACCCTAAAAACTTTCTGTATTTACAATATTGTGCAGCGCGAGTTCTTCATCTTTTCCTCGAATTCCTTCTCCCTGCGCTTGAATTCCTTCTCGAATCGCTTGCGCTCCTCCTCGAGCTTGATGCGCTCCTGCTCGAATCGCGCGCGCTCCGACTCGGCGTGCCTGCGCTGCTCCTCGGCACGCTTGCACTGCTCCTCCATTTTGGCCTCGGCCGCTATCGCGCTGCGCTTGGATTCCTCCGCGAGCTCCCGCAATTTGGCCAGCTCCTCCTCTTGCTCGGCCTTGTCCTTCTCATAGCTCTCCCGCAGTTCATTGATCTGCCAGTGAAGCGAGAGTTCTCTTAGCGCGCGGTGAGAACGTTTGAAAATATAAAACCTTTTGGGGGAAATTTTGCTCCAGCTGAGAGAGTCGATTCTCCATGCTCTCTTTCTTCTCTCGTGCTTCTTCTTGAGCCTGGAATCAATCCATTGAAATTTGGGAGGATGCGAGATACGCGAACTCTTACCTTGGCCAGCTCGAAGATCTCGGTGGTGTAAGGTATGCGGCTGTTGGCAGTGATCATCGTGTCAACAATCTCGAGAAGATCTCTCCGCTGCGCCTCCAGCTTTCTCTTGTCCTTGGATTTGTTGTCAAACAAAATCTTTCGATCGCCACACCGGTGGAGAAGATCCTGGAAACAAAAGAAGAACACTTTGAAGAACATAGCTGCGAAGGTGAGTACCTTGAGAGCTCCAGGAGTGCCATTCTGCGATAAGAACTCCTCCAGTGACGTTCCATCGCCATCGTCTTCGAGCGCGTCACCATTCGTAAAGACGACGACGACGTAGTTCAAGACCCCGGATCCAAACATCTTCTCAAACGCATCCACGGCAGCGAATTCCTCCTCCGTGAACTTCGATTTGGCCGAGAGCACGAGGAGGATTCCGTGAAGCCCATCGCCAGCCAAATCCATACACTTGCCAATCTCTCTCGCGATCGACTTGGAATCGAGGGCGGTGTCAAACATCCCTGGAAAGGAGAATCTCTAGCAAAAAAAACTGCAAGCAAATCGCAGGTACCTGGAGTGTCGATGACGCGAATGCGTCGTCCATCGGGCCGTGTGATCTGCCCAAGCTCGCACACGCGCGTCACGGAGCCAAGGGACATCCTGGAGTTGAATCTCTTGCCGCCGAGGATGGAATTCCCTGTGGCGCTCTTGCCACTGCCGGTTTTGCCCACTAGCACAAGCGTGGTGCTGCTAGAATCGCGAGGAGAGATTACCTCGGTGCCGCTCTTGGCAGCCTTGTAATCGGAGAAAGCCATGCGATCGCTGCGAATCGGGGCGTCGTAGTCGCTGCCGCCGTTGCTGGGAACGTCTTCCCAGTCGCTAAGATCCATCGTCCTTCCCTGACCTAAAAGGAAAGATCCTTACAAACAAGCTAAATTTGCAAATGGTTATGAAAATCGAAAGGGAATTCTCTACGATAGAGTTGTCATTTTCGGAAGCTCTTGCTCGACTCACAAATCTAATAATCTCTTTGTGCATGTGTCAGGGAATTGGAAGTTATTGAGATCCAGGCATAACACATCAACAAGAAGAAAAAAAGATGAAAGCGGATTAGCAGCTGACATGTGAAGATCTCTGTCTTTACATTTTGAAGAAATTGGAAGTATTGCATAGAACGAAGTCAACAAGAACTTAAGAGCTCCACTTAAAGGCCTGGAAAACCATTTGTCTGGATGGTAGACTCTCTCTTTTTCTTCGAACAAAGCACCACCATTACTTTCTTCGATCTCAGGATGGGAAACGGTTGGTCGGATCTGCCACTTGACATTTTCCACAAGATCTTCGAGCTGAGCCTTCAAGCGGAACTTGCTGGCATTGTCTAGTTTGTAAGTCGTGGAGGAGCAACACTTCGAGGCGCTGCTTTCAACGACTTAACATCTTCTGGCCGCTTCCTGGGCTAGAAGCGAAGCTCTGCAGCAAGCACAAGCGACAGCTCTTGCACTGCGACTGCATCCATCTCCGCACTGATATCTCGTCTCCAAGAGGTCCACACTCTCAAGCTCCACAGCGTCCACAAGGCCTTGCAAGCTTCCAAGCTGACAGACTCCGCCTGGATTAACATGACAAGCTCGGCGCGAGAGTTGGACCTCGTCCCGTGAACTTCCGAGTCTTGGAGCACATCAACCTCGAATCACTCAAGATCAAGTGCTTGCCAGTCATGGCACCGGACAGTGATGAGATTACTCCCGAGGCTCGGGGTGTTGTCTTGAGCAAGCTCCACACGCTGGCAATGGAAAGCTCAAGACCATCAAGCTTGTCATGCAAGGCCGCCACAGCTGGAAGCTTGCGATACTTTGCTCTTTATGTCGGAGCAAGGTCGTGGTGGTGGCCCGGGGATAGCAAAACTCGAGCACACGAAAGGTGGTGGTAGACTCGCTCAAGCGGGTGGTGCTGTGGCCGGACTTTGGTGAGACTTTCTCGGAGTCCGGGAAGTTGTACAGCCTCTTCTCGACAATGTCGCTGTGGAGGAGCGTGTTGTCCAAGCTAGTCGAACGTTTTTTCTTTTCACCCAGACCCAAAACTTGGCGAATTATATCTCGATCGCGTTTCACATTCAAGAGCCTTGGTCGTGATAGATCATATAACGTTGTCCGATCGTTTTAACCTGTCCTAGGGCGCGAGAAGAAAACGACCTTCAAGCGTGGGAACAGCGCAAAGAGAAGCGCGAGGAGAGTTCGATGATGGGTGAGCTTTTTTTCTCTCCTCCTCCTCCATGGCCGCGATTTTTTCCGCTTGTGAGGCAGTACCGGAGAATGTGGTTGCTCGATCGAGAGCCAGAGTCAAGATCGATGAGCGCGCGGCTCGAGCTGTCGAGCAGAAGCTGTTGCGATTCTCTTTGTTGACAGGGGACGAGGAAGATCAAGAGCTCACGCCGAGCGAGCTCATCATCGGTGATTGTCCCAACGCGGAAGCTTTCTCCCGGTGAGAAACTAGAAATAGGCAGTTGCTCCTATAACGCAAATCTGCTTTTTCCGCTTTTCTTTCCAGGTGGGAATCAGGGCATAAGCGGTTTATCTGCGACTTCCTCGGCGGCAAAATCATCGCAAGGGAGCTCCCGAACAAACCCCATGGCCACGCTCAGCTGAAGGTGGGAGCTGCTTTTGATGCACAAGCAGCTGGATTGCTGTCCGTGGCTACGGCTGTCGGCTACAGGCCAGATGTCGGGGGAAGTCTCTACGTGCCTGATGTGGTTGTCAATGTTATTGGTGAGAGTAGTATCCTTCCACCGGGGGTGGCGGCAGTGCACGAGTATGGAGCCATCGTCATAGAGATCGCTACATCACAAAGGCCCAAGAATCTCCACGAGCGCGCAGCTATCTTCTTGGGACCCAATTACCCTCGATGTGCTATTTACGTGGGTCTCAAGCGTTTCAATATGAGAGCCAATGGCACCATGGCCATGCTCGCTACAGTTTATGAACGACCGCCACCACCAGTAGCTGGAGCCGGAGGAGCAGCCGGAGGGGCGGCTGGAGGAGGTGGAGCACCGGGGCCGGCCGGGCCTGCTCCAGCCGTGCCTGTTCCAGGTGCGCCTGGCGGAGCAGGGCCGATGCCCATACGCTTAGTCTCCTTTGGCACAGGACCCTTGGGACCAAATGCGACTTGGAAAAATGACCCGAATCTCACAGGCATTGGAAGGAATGGAGTTCCGTTGACCGGACCTGGAATTGCACAGTACGTCCTACGCTTTCCAGCACTTCAGGTGTTTTCGACTTTCGTCCCTCCTGGGGGAGGAGGAGCAATAGGAGCTCCCCCTCCTGGAGCTCCTGTTGATTATACGTTAGATCTCTTTTACGTTAAGGAGGCTTTTCTCAAGCCGAATGCACCAACGTATTAGAAATTGAGTGTAGTAGTATTGGAGAACTTTATAATCTTAGACTATAGTCTACTGCATTGATTTCTCTTTGTATCTTTGGCGTGGATGAAAAATTGTGAGCGTGTATGTCGATATGTCGAAGTGAAAGTTGGTGTTTTGCTTGTTCGTGTTCCTGTATGCATTTGTCTGTCAATGGTGGTGAGAAAACCAAGACAATGGTGTGGTGAAAAAAAAAAAAAACAAAGTAGAATAGAAAATGAGAAGAAACAAAAAGATCATGAGGAACTTTGCAATATCAATAAGAAGCATTAAAGTTGTTTAGCAAAATAGGTGTCAATCTAAAATATAGCAGCAAGCTTGTTATAAAGATGGCATTTGAGCAGCCTAGTGGTTGTCTGTAATATTTTGCGTTACAGCATACGTTGATCAATATCTTTATAATTTTCACACACATAGCTCCAAATTTAGAAAAACAAATTTGTAAATGGGACATAAAAAAACACAAATTGTACCCTAATCAATAATCACCATATTAAAAGTGTAGATTAACATTAAAATAGCATAATAAATATAACTATTTTTCTTAAGAAAAGCTATATAACAGTAGTGGATATATCTAGAATATGCTTGGATATTCTACCATCCAATGGTTATTATTTATTTAGATTAATTTTGTAGTTATAATTTATAAACATATATTTAGTTTAGTATATTTTAGTTTATTTACCATTTAATGGTTCATATGCAATAAATATCTTGTGTTTATAAATTATGAACATGTTTATAATTATAAAATTCCAATTGATCAATTGAATTAATAAATATTACTAGATATGAATAGCACTATTCCATATGTAATGTGCTTATATTCTACTTAACTTTCTTCAAACTAATTTAATAAAACACTCAAGTAGTAATTATTCATAAAAGTTCTGACAAAAAATCATATTTTTAATAATAATTTCTTCATCATACAACAAATTATAATTAAAAATAAAAATGTAATTTTCTGTCAGAAATAATTTGAGTATTTTTGTTAGATTACTTTTTATTTAAAGTACTTCACTTATATATTTAAATAAACAGATAATAGTAATACTATAATAGTTTTTAAAAATATTTTAACATAATTTTGTTTTTAGGGTTTTTACCATAAGCCGAGGTAGATCCTATTCACCGTAACAGTGGTGAAGGAGTTGTGATTGTACACAAAGAAAGTTGAGTCTTTGCTATATGTACAACCCTTTTAAATTGAACCAATTTAAGTGTGTTTTCCTTTTATGAAACAGATTGAACACGATTGTTTCATGGATCTTGTGGCATTTCTTGGTCTATCATAGGTTGAAGTAGATAGCCTGGGCGGAACATGCACACACAAACCCTATCCTTAGGATCTTATATCCACTCGGAACAAGTCAACAATACTTACGCAATCTAGATGGTGGCGTTTTTCTATCATGAAAGACTATGGCCATCGCGAAGAGCTGATGCCTTTGCATGGCAAACAAAAAGAGGTGTATATCAAGGAAATCAGTGAAATCATTTTGTGAAATCACAAGTTGATACATTTTAACAAAAAAGTCTAGATGCATAATGTGATGCATCACAATGTATCAACTAGAATATCCCTAGAATATACCCACTATACAGCATTAGACTTCGCAAAAACTGTTAATCCCCTATACTAAGACTAATATACTATTGCTTCTTGGGTTTAGATTTGGGGGGTTGGGTTGTGCCAGGCTAAGGCGGTAGTGTAAGGCCGAAGCGACACGTGGAGGACCGGGTAGCAAGCTACCGGTGGCCCCCCTCCCACAAAAAATTAGGTTAATAGCGTTGGGGCACGTGGCCCCATATCAGCTATTAAACTGATAAGAACAGATACTACACTTGATCTTAGCCAAAAGGCCGAGAAAGGTATAAGGTTCCCTTGCCCCAGCCCTCTCTTATATACTCAAGCCCGGGCACGATTCTACGCCTTCGCATGTGGGATAGGGTGCACGCCTACGTGTCTCACCCTAAGTAGGGCACAGACATTTAGAAACCCTAAGCTTTATTTCAATCCCATTCTTTTCGAATCTCAAACGAATAGCTCAAATCCAAGTAGCATCGCTTGTCATCGTCGAGGAACTGCAGCGCACATCGATTCGAACCAGGAGGAAAAATGAAAAAGGTAAGAACAATCTCTGGAACACGAAAATTTGAGCTTGCCTTCATCTTGGCCGAGTAATTTCCCCTCGCAAGGATCCCGCTCGGTGTCGTCTCCTCATCGATCGTGTGTGTGTACGGGTCCTGGTGCGGAGCAAAAGTTCCAAGCATTTTTCTCGTTTGATCGACTGCCGAACGGAGGTTTGAGTCAGAGCTGAAGTTCTTAAAAGTGGAAAGCGAAAAAGAATCAAGGACGTACCTCTCAGGCCATTCTTCCAGACGGTGTTCGAGTAGACGAGGCCCGAGACGAGGTTGTGGTGAACCGAGAATGTAAACTTGAGGCAGTAGCTGGTGCCTTCTTTCAAGCTGAAAGAGCTGCCCCGCGAATTTGGAACCAGCGGCAATGGAACAATCACGTCGGGTCGCCCCTCTACGATCACTGTGAGGGAACTGAGCCTGACCTCCGGCTCCAGTCGCTCTATCCCTCGCAACAAAGAAACAGAAGAAAAAAAATACATCGACAATCTCGTCAGCTTTGATGTGCTGCATGATCATGGGCTTACCTTACCATCGAACGATTCAACAGGGAGAGAACCCAGGAGCTGTTCCTTCCAGCGTCGCAAGCTCTCATCATCCTGTGTTAGACAAAAACAAACACCACTGTTTAGAGTAAATAGTTTCCTGTACAGACCCAACTCACTCTCGAGACAAGTGATAAGAACTAACTCTTTCCTAAACCCGCGAAAGTTTGATCACAGAGATCCATCTCTCGACAAGCTAAAGATCATGGAAAATGATTTAAAATGCTCTGACAGGAAACTTTTCCTATAATGGATGAAACATTTTGGGGAGTCTAAAATCATTCGAGATCATGGATGGGAGGAAAACATACCTTGTCGCGCTCGATGTGATCCCTGAGCGGTACCAGAGGCCCCAAATATCCCTCGGCAAGCTTGGAATCTTCCTCATCCGATTCGCACAGCGACACACGGCTCAGCTGCCTCTGGAGCCCCTCTGCCCCACCTCCAGAGCATCCAGCCGTGGCGGCGGTGGCGTCAGCGGCGGCACCGGCGGCGGCGGCGACCCCATCGCTGCCTATGAATCCGTTCATCCTGCACTGGAACCGATGGATCACACCCTCACAAGCTCATTAGCCTAGCGAGCGGCGATCTGGGAGGAAATGCTGGAATGGAGCTTCCGAAACCCCGATCGATCGATGCCTGGACGAAATATCGGTGATGGATCGAAGAATCGAAGAAGCGCTTGGTGGAAGGAATGAAAGAACCTAAAATCGAGAGAGAGAGAGAGAGAGACAGACAGAGAGAGACAGAAAGGGGTAAAAAATTTGAATTACCAGCGTGTGAGCGGGGGATCGAACTCGAGAAACTTAGCGCATTAATTTGCCCTAGTCCCAGTTAGAAAGTTTAGGTTTAAAATCCATTAGAATGCGCAAGGACGAGGATGGGCGCGCCGCGATGCCGCCCGACGCAGCGATCGCCAAGCGCGTCAGGGAGATTCTCGCCAGCGCCAATCTCAGCGAGGTTTCTTCCAAAGACATTCGCAAGCAAATGGAGGAGGAGATGGGCGTGAGCTTGAGGTCCAAGAAGGCGTTTCTTCGCGAGCAGATTGAGAGTTTCGTGGCCGAGGCGGAGGATTCCGGCGAAGGCGAAGCGGAGGAGGCTGCCGATGCCGAAGCCAGTGGCGATGGAGATGGAGATTCCAGGCTCCGGGACAAGCTCAACTCCGCAATTCGAGAGAGGTAAATTTTTTTCTTCCTCATACGTTGATAAAACATGGCTTGAGAAATTCCCCTTCTTTCTCATCAGTGCTCCATCCAAAAAAACAAAGAAGAAGGGACTGACTGGACTTCAAAAGCCTTGCCAATTGTCCGATGTGCTGGAAGCTATCGTCGGCATTCCACAAGCTCCAAGGTCTCAGGTTTGTGATATCTTCACTCTGGATTGACGATGTTTCTATTTTCTTGGCTTCCAGGTTGTGAAATCTCTCTGGGCTTACATCCGCGAGCACAATCTCCAGGTGCCCGAGGACAAGAGGAAGATCAAATGCGACGAAGCGCTCAAAAAGGTTTTTAATTCCGACTACATTGACATGTTCTCCATGAACCAGAAGTTGACCAAGCATGTCATCCCTCTCGACGGTGAGCTTTGCTTTCCAAAAATCCTCTCGCTGATGAGAACTTGCCAGAGCTGGCGTACGAAGCTGGAGCCGCGAGTAAGGGGTTTTGGAGTTGTGCTTCATCGTTTCTACTGACTGGATTTCCTTGCAGAGAGGAAGATCAAAGACGAAGAAGAAGATGAAGATGGTAAAGAAGGATTAGCCGAGAGGGCTGTAGATCGGGAAACCAGAGCTGCTAACAGACTTGCTCGGAAGCGAAAGGCAGAAGAGCGAGCCGAGAAAAAGGAAGAGGCCAGAAAAGCCAGGAAAGCTGCTGGCAAGAGCCCCAAAGTGTCTGGATTCACAGTTCCCATGAAGATCTCTCCAAAGCTTAGAGAATTCTTGGGAACGGAGGAGAGCCAACTCTCGAGGCCGGAAGTGACGAAGCAGCTGTGGGATTACATCAAAAGCAATCAGCTCCAAGTAAGTTTGAAAAATTCGGATCTCTTCTCGATGAGAAGGAACCATTCTTTTGATCAGGATCCTTCGGACAGGAGGAAGATCTTGTGCGATGAAAAGCTCGAGAAGCTGCTGGATTGCAAGTCGTTCAATGGTTTCGGTGGTCTTCCCAAGTTGCTGCAAGCTCATCTGACAAGCACTCGTAAGTAACAAAGGAAAGAGGAGGCGATTTTGACAGCTGCTACAAACTCTTCGGTAAATTATTCTCTGTACATACAGATTTCTCAGTGGTGATCCGAGAAAGCGTCAGGAAACTGGCTCTGGATCCGATTTTTTATTATCCTAACAGCAAAGTTTTCTTTGAAAAGAGTAAAAAGTTTGTGCTTACCTGATGTGCTTGAAAATGTGGTCTAGATCGGCTTTCATGGATTTGAGGAGCTTCGTGTTCTTGGCGAAATCTGGAGCTACCGCGGCGAAGCTACGCTCGGAGAATTCGTTGTAGTGCGAGAGGACCGCGTTGCTATCGCCCAGCCTGCCTAATCTGTGACGCGAGCGAGTTCAAAACCACCACTTCTTTTTCTTCGATCGATGATGATCACTTACATGAGAAGCTGGAGGCGCTTGAGCTCGTCGATGCTGCTCGGATCGAGAATGGATTGGATCTGCTCCGTCGCCTCGGACGCTGCCGCTTGGATTTGCTGCTCTTCCATCGCCAAACGCGAAGAACCCTAAATTATTTATCATTCAAACGGCTATAGGGATGAGTCTTTGCGATTGGAGGTTGTGGCTTCTTCGTTGGAAGAATGGCGCCAAACCTAGGGCTTCTAGCTGCTGTGCTCCTCCGGCTTCCCTCGATCTTGGAAGGCGGCATTTGATTGCCATGGGAGTCTCCCTCGGATTGTCTGCGCAGAATGCCGTAGCGATCGAGCAGCCGAAATCTCCTCCACCGGCCCCAAAATCTTCGCAGTTCTACGAGATCCAGGGATCTGGTGGCGTCAAGGCTCTGGATATCAGGCTTGGCGCTGGAAAATGTCCCAATCCTGGAGATAAGGTAATTCTTCCTTGTTTCCTCCTTGATTTCTTTCTATCTTCGCTGCCCAGGTTGCAATCCACTACTATGGAAGGCTCGCAGCGAAGCAAGGCTGGCGATTCGATTCAACGTATGATCACAAAGACGAGGATGGGAATCCAAAGCCATTTGTCTTCACGATCGGCTTAAACAATGTAAGGAGGAAGGAATTTTTTTTCTTTCTATTAGTGTCACATTTTTCTCTTGTGTAGGTGATAGCGGGGGCTTGGTCTCAGCAGTGAGAACAATGAGGCCTGGAGGAATTCGTCGTGTCATCATTCCACCATCGCAAGGCTATCAAAGCACCACACAAGACCCTCTACCTCCAAATGTAAGCTTTACTCATCTTCTACCACAAACAAGCGCTCTTTCTTCACGCACAGATCTTCGACAGGCAAAGGCTCTTCACGACCATCTTTAATCCCACAAGAGTAGCAAACGGAGAAAGCTCCACGCTTGGAACGCTTGTTTTCGATGTGGAGCTCGTCAGAGTCGCAGAGGAATAGCTCGAATCATCAAAGTTACTCAAAAGTCTGGAGAGGTATAGTAAATCGAATTCGTTTCGTTTTTTTCGTTCGTATTTCTCACTGACCAACTTCCTACATTTGCCAGCAAAACAAACTTCATTTGGTCAGCCTGGATTTCTTCAAACCAAAAATTTTCTCCCCCTCTAAAAACCGTTCGGATCTTCCCAAAACAAGGAACAACCTTATGTACTCATTTACAAGCCTCCTCCTCTCGTTGCTGTTCTTCGTCGCCATCGTCGTCTTGTCGACTTATTTCACCTTGCCCAGCTCCAACTCGCAATCCTCCGACTCCGAGCCCGAGGATGATGGGCTTGCAAGGCTGCCACCGCTCAGATCCAAGAGCACATTGCACACTACTTGGTTCTTTCCGTTCACCACCGACGGGGTCGATGCCAAAGCCGTCATATGCTGCAAAACAAACATCTCGGTAAGCAAGCTTCCAAGTTGTTTACAGTCGCTTACCTCTCGGACGAAAGAATAGATCTCTTCTTCCGTCAATGGCTCGCCGTCCGGTTTGTCTTCCCATCCGAGCGACCTCAACAGAGCAGTCTCCTCCTCCTCGCACCACCGGCCATGCTTCGCCTCGGCTGGCTTGAGTTCCTTGACAGCACCAGCGTCTCCACTCTCTTCCGTGCGAATCAGCTCCGACACAACAGTGGAGCTCTCCTCGCAGGCCTTCTTCTGTGGAGTGTCCATCGCCGTGCTCTCCTGCGGATTCCTGTTCTCGCCATTTGTCGCTGCCTTCTTCCGGATCGCGTTGTAAAAGTTACTCCGGTTCTGGCCGTGCGCAAGAGGCTTCCGGTCCTCGTGGACGTGGACGTCGCCAACTTTACCGTCACTGGCTGGCTTGCGATCCACCATGGGAGCCTGGGGAGCTCGGTTTGCAACAGGCGCCGTGGACTCTTTGCTCAGCACCTGGAGCCTTCCTGGAGTTGCTTTCAAGACGCTCAAAGCTGGCGTTGGTGTCCGGTATGGAGTAACTGGACTCGCTGGCTGGCCGGACTTCAAATCAGAGGATTTCATCGGCTTGCGAGGAAGCACCTGCAAAAGAAAAAAGAAGAGTTAAGCTCGCTCAACTTGGACAAAGAAGAAAAGAAGCTCAGCCACGTACCATTGTTTTCGGAAGAGATGGTTTCATTGGGACGAGCTGCCTTGATTGCTTCAAGGCAATCTCCTCCAGCCGCTGTGTCTGCTGCTCCATAGCCGTCTGGAATAGACCAAAGAAGGAAGAACAAGTGAGGATGGTGAACAAGTTAAACACTGCTAGAGCGAGATGGAACGTTACCTGAATCGGAGACGACGCTACATGGACGAGCGCTTCAGACATCTTGAAGGCTGGCGATGGAGCCTCGGGGATTTTCGAGCTGAAAACTTCCGGCATCTTGGAGCAAATCGCTTCCGGGGTCTTGGGAGCCATGGAGCTGTCAATGTAGTCCGTGTCACTCGAGTTCCTCGACGACACGAAACGATTGCTGCTCGCCATCCGGAGCCTCTCGGAGCTCTTGAAACCGCACCACCCATTCTCCACATCGAGCCTAGCCACTGGCACCCTGTGAAACCCCGACGGCCCTCTATCTCCTCCTACTTGCCTGTCATGGCTTCGCCAGTCCCGGTTCCAGGCCTCGCGATCACGCTCGCGCTCGGGAAACCTCCCGCGACTAAAATTCGGGTAGAATCTCGAGTCCCTGTCCGAGATTCCATTCAAAGAATGCTGGGGGCGATTCACAAACGAGGAGTGTCGTGATGCTATTCCAACACCACCTGGAAGAACAAAGAAAAGAAACGCGTCACCTTAAGTTCTTAAGACCAAAACGAAAGAAACAAAAAAAAACTATACTTTACATACCATTGTTGTTGTTGTTGTTCTTCAACCATTCTGGCACCAGCGATGGTTCGCTTCCATTTCTGTCCATCTTGAGCAAACCCATGATCGGCTGCTGCCAAACCTAAGGCGCCATTGTGCCATCTATTGAGGAAGCCACACAGCCTTTTACCCCAATCCTTCTCCTTCCCTCATCCCCGGAAAAGGCCAGGCCCAAAATCAAGAACAACAAAGACCTTCCCACACACCTCTACGAAAACGGGGACACGAATCGCCAGAGAGCCAGAAAATCCTCACTCCAATTCCTCTCTCCCTCGGATTCCCACCGGCGCTCTCGCGAATTCGGCGCCACAAACCCTACCGCTGCTGGATCGCGGGCGAGGAGGAGGAAGGGATTCGCCGCGCGATTCACCTCCGCTGAATCGCGATGCTTGCTTGCCGTTGCAATATAGGTACAAAGAAAAACACACAGCACAGCGAGCCCTAAATCCCCTTCCTCATCAACGGTTGATATTTCGCCACGCGGGCACTGGAATATGCCCCGCGCCATAAAACCCCCCCCAGAGCCCTAGTGTGTCTTGCAAGAAAATGGATTTGCAGCGCTGCTTCCGATGAATTCCTAGAATTTAGCCCGATCGATCTGATCGAAGCGTCCTTTGGATTAGCTTCGATTTAGATGATGATCGATTAAATGTGACGTACATTCGAAATCCTTGACTGAAATTAGGGTTCTTCACCTTAGAAGGGTAAAGTTATGATCCAACGGCTACAACATGGCCACGCTGGCCAGGGAATCTCCCGTTGCATAAAACCCCTCTAGAACCCTAGAGCTCTTTCTCTAGTCCATGGCTTTTGGAGCTCTTGCGCTGGTTTTGCCACCATCGTCGTGCTCCTTTGCGGATATTTGCTGCCGATCCAGCCGATTGCGCTCGTCGCCGGGGATCAGAGCGCAGGCCGTGCGCGTCAGGGCGGCGATGGAGCGAGGGTAAGGTTTTCCTCGCAATGCCGGGGAGGTTTTGTGTGACTGATCCGAGAATGCGCAGCCAGGACGGGGATCTGGCGCATTGGGAGACCGTTGTGGGGATTTTGGGAGGCGGGCAGCTCGGGCGGATGCTTTGTCAGGCTGCGTCGACGATGGGGTTGAAGGTAGCGGTTCTTGATCCGGCTGAGGATTGCCCTGCGAGCCGTCTGGCACACAAGCATCACGTCGGGAGTTTTCGAGACAGGGATGCTGTTAGAGAATTTGCAAAGAGGTACATTGCGAAAGTTTTCTCCGTGTGCTGGAACGTGTTTCTTGATGAAGCTGTGGAGTTCTCACTGTGGAGATTGAGCACGTCGATGTCGACACTATAGATGCTCTTGCCACTGAAGGCATTGATGTGGAGCCGAGTCCACAAACGATCAGGATAATCCAGGTCTGTTTGGTCGTTTTCTTTTTTTGTTCGTTAGAGTTGATCTTGGTCATGCCTGTTCTTTTCCAGGACAAGTATTTGCAAAAAGTTCACTTCCAAGAGCATGGAATTCCTCTTCCGGATTTCCTTGAGGTGAGCAAACTGCGCAGCCTGTTAACAATTGGCGTAACGCATCTAGTCTTTTCGCAGCTCAAGAGCATTGAAAGCGTTGAGGAAGCCACTAGCCTGTTTGGTTATCCTTTGATGGTGAAAAGCCGTCGCCTTGCGTACGATGGTCGTGGAAATGCCGTAGTCCGATCTAGAGATGACTTTGAATCAGCTGTTGCGTGTAACTAACTAGTCCCGAGGAAACTTTTTCCAGTGCTTTGACGTTCGCTTTTGAATTGCAGCGCTGGGTGGATTTGAGCACGGCCTTTATGCAGAACGTTGGGCTCCGTTTGTAAAGGTTCGATAATGTGTTTTTAATTCTCGTCATATCTTTATATCTTCTTATCTTTGGATTGATAAGCAGGAACTGGCCGTGATGGTTGCACGAAGCAGAAGTGGTGAATTGCGTTGCTATCCCGTCGTCGAGACCTCGCAAAAGTGGGTATCTTTCCTCGTTGGACTGTTGCATTGTACAACGAGGTGACACTCCATTACAGGGACAACATTTGCCATGTTGTCGAAGCACCTGCTCAGGTGTCCAACGCTGTAGCACAACGGGCTCTAGATATTGCAGGGAAGACGATCGGTTCGCTGGAAGGCGCAGGAATTTATGGTGTGGAGCTGTTTCTTCTAGCGGACGGCCAGGTCCGATAGAACTCTCATTTTCCTTCATGTGATTATCTCCGCACACCTTTCCAGGTTCTTCTCAACGAGGTTGCTCCGCGACCACACAACAGCGGTCACTATACTATTGAAGCTTGCTACGTTTCACAGTTTGAACAGCATCTTCGGGCCGTGTTGGGCTTTCCACTTGGTGATACAGCGATGAAGGTTCCAGCAGCAATGATGTATAATCTTCTCGGAGAGGCTGAGGTATCGTGGAACACTCTTATCCTTTCCCGTCACTGGTTGGAATGTAGGGTGACGCTGGATTCAACCAAGCTTATCAAACCTTGAGAAGAGCGCTAAACGTCCCTGGTGCAAGCATTCATTGGTACAACAAAGCTGGTTTGTTTTGCCAAGTAGTTTAAGCTGTTGAAGCTATATACTCTTGGATTTATTTTTCAGAGATAAGGAGGCAGCGGAAAATGGGCCATATCACTGTTGCTGGAGACTCTGCAGCTCTTGTCAGGGCGCGCATGAATCAAATCATTAGTTCCACTGTCAGCTCCAATTCAAGTGAGAGCGAACCAGGTTCGTGTATGTAGTCTTTCGCTCTGCATGATTTGACTTTCTCGTTTCCAGGTCCATTAGTTGGCATATACATGGGGTCTGATTCAGACTTGCGTGTCATGAAAGATGCAGCTGATGTTCTTGACTCCTTTGGTGTTGCTTATGAGGTTTGGCCGCTTTAGTTTCGTTTGTATACGATGTTTTTTTTATTCGCGTGCTTACAGATGACAATTGTGTCCGCTCACAGAACCACGGAGAGAATGAACGCCTTTTCAAGGACCGCACATGAAAGGGGCATCAAAGTGATAATTGCTGGAGCAGGCGGCGCCGCACACTTACCTGGTAGGCCTCTAAGTTGTGAACGACGAAAGACGTCTTGTTAATCTAAATCCCAGGCATGATCGCGAGCGCTACTCCTCTCCCCGTCATCGGTGTTCCTATCAATGTCACCTCCTTCGATGGCCTTGACGCGCTACTCTCCATAGTCCAAGTATGTTAACATCCTCTACGCCTTTTCTTTGCTGGCACCAAACCATAGCTCTTAATGCACAGATGCCAAAAGGCGTCCCAGTGGCCACAGTCGCAGTGGACAATGCGACGAATGGAGGACTTTTGGCCGTGAGGATGCTGGCATTGACGAACCCAAAGCTCTTGCAAAGGTATCGGGCAATAATCTCTAAAGCTTGGCTGTAACGTAGTGGTGGTGGTGGCGTTTTGACAGGATGATAACTTACCAGCAAGAAATGGAGGCGGCAGTGCTTGAAAAAGCGGAGAAATTGGAGAAAGAAGGCTGGAGAAACTATTACTCTCGCAAGAACAAGTCTTCTCCAAGCTAAAGGCGATGGCGATTGGAACTTTCTTCCACTTCTAAAGCGGTGATTCATAAAACTCCATGAACTACGCTTTGGTACGGAAGAGCGGTGGTCCCAAATGAAGTAGTGGCCCATCAGTTGGGACGTTACGCAATGGGAGTACAATGCTGATGATTGGAGGGGCGGCACGTGACGGGCGGCTCGCTCGTCAGCGACGGCCGTGACTTGGAGATCCGAATCCGAACGAGATCCCGGCCGTCAGAGGAAACCGCCGCCGCCCGTCAGAGGTGGCCCAAAACTTATCCCATGTTTGTCAAGCCCGTCAATGATTGACGTGTCAGCTCGAGCATATGGAATGGGATTAAAAAAAAAGAAAAGGTTTTCTCCCTCGATGTAATGAGCGTATCGTGTCCAAATCCACGGCAAGCCAGGCTTTTAACTTTCCATCGATATTTGCTTTTTTCACTACAATTTTTTACTCCTGGCTTCATTTACTACTTCCCTTGAATGCAAATCTCAACCGTCCGGGGCTCAGACACGTGGGCACGAGAGCCGTCGATCTCAGCCATCGCCTCCGACTCTTTCCAGCCAGCACCGGCGGCGGCCGTCACATCACAAAGTCAACCATGGTTCTTCCGTACGACTTGATTTTTAAAGTATTTTCTTACCAATCTAATCTTTTGTATTGTGAGGTCATCTCGGGTGTCACAGCAGGACGTACATTGCTACGGAGGAGTGGCGTATTCAAACAAGCCAATGTCACCTCCCTGGATTACTCCTGACCCGGCAACACCTGCGCAGGTTTCCACCTTCCAGGAGGCGGTGGGGAGGTGTCACCTGGACGGTACGACATGCCCGAACGGAAGTAAGGTCTGGCTTTCAATGATATCTATTATGCAGCGTCGTGAGCAACAAATCATTTCTTAGCTACGCTTGCTTGTGATGTTCTTGGCATTCTCGTAGAGAGAATCATCGTAGAGTACTTCACAAACCACCACCAAAGATTCAATGAACTGTGAAGTTTTTGTCAATCGAGACTATGGCGATAACCTGTGAAGTTTCGTTAGAGATTTGTGTAGCTAAAAAGTTGTCTAGCCAAAGAATCGATTACCTGATGATGAGCGAGGCTCCAGACTCCCAAGAACAGCTCTGTCCAGCCAGTTCCGTTGCTTGTCTTGTCTCCCACTCGTTTCCCTCTTGCCGTGTTTGTCTTAACGGTGCTACAAACATCGAAAACGCTACGGGCGTTAGTATATGTAGAATAACCGTATAGCAGTGAGGAAGGTTTCCCAGGCAAGCACAAGCAAGTAAGTAAGCGATAGAGCAAAGCAACGTAATAGTCTACGCAATGAGTGCACAGAGCTAAGTTCTAGACGAGGCATCGCATCTTTGCTGCTCTCGCTCGCTCGAAACCTCACTCTCGATATTCGAAACTAGGCCCCTCTCATAAATGCTCTACTTCTTGTCTGCATTGACAAGGCAAAGGAAAAGCAAAGTGAAAAAGAGGATGAGCAGGAACAGCATGTAGTGGATGGAAAACTCCAAGCCAAGCCAAGCAGCAATGCCAGTGCAGTGGAAGAAAATGGAAATAGATTGATGAATGAGAGGAACTGACCTTTCCCATCCTACCTTGCACTGCCGCAGCGATAGCAGCAGAGGGAGTAAGAGTACACTGCATTCGTCCTGTCGAAACAGCGGCTCTTTCGTCCACTCGTCACCACCATCTATGTAGATAGATACAAGCCAGGAAAGAAAATCAGATCAAACGAGCACTTGCAGTAATCAAATCCAGAAAATTACTGACCTCGACAGCAGGGAAAGTGATCTCGACAAAGCAACAAGCCGTTTGTTCCTTGCGGCGGAGCAAGGGAAGAAGTCTGCAAATCTGCAAAGCACGACAGGGATTTGAGGAGCTCCGACGGGGTCAGTTCAGGTGTGGCCCAATGATAATGTAATCTAAAGCAAAACAAGGAAGAAAAGCACACACTTATCACAGAAAAAGATCGAAGAAAACCCGGACGAACAAGAAACCGTCCAAAGCAAAAGCCAGCCGTCCTCACCTGGCTCGTCCTCAATTCTTATATCCTGCTTCGCCTGCGGCCAGAGGACAAACTTCGTCAATCTTTTGGTGTCGCCCATCATTACAACACTACCATCCCAGGCTTGAAACAAATGCACAAGTAGACATTCAAGACAAATTTCAATGGCAATCTCAATCCAACCAGATCACCCACAACTTACAACACGGACCGCCACCACGCTGCCCCAAGTCAAGCCTGTATAGAACGCGACAACAATTCCCATTTGCCATACAAAGAGCTGTAAATTTGTAGACGACACTTACACTGAGCTTTCTGGAGCCTCCCCAATACCTCCCACAAACAACACTTTCGAAAGCTCTTCTCTTCTTTGCAGCACAGTTTTTTTTTCTCTACAGCTTAAAGACACCACCACCACTCTCCCTACAACAACAGCACAGCACGAAATTCCGGAACAGCTCAGTAACGAGGCGTTTAAAATCAAAACATACCAACGAAAAATTCCATCCCTCATGAGGCTAGTTCGTGTTGGCGCACTCTCGAAACTCAACTCGGACCCCACCGATATAAAAACTCTTCTCGGCCCGGGGACTTATAAGATGCATCCTATCAGCTCCTGCATAACGTTTCTAAGATCCCCCTCAGAAGTACGAGTTACATCTGTCGCCTGCAAGACAGAGTTCCAAAAGGCGGCTTAAGAAAAGTGTTAAAAAAACTGAAAAAAACATATGGGATGGGTCACTTACACAAGCATGTATGATGAGCAATCGTCGGTTGTCACTCGTATCGGTTATCTGCACATTCCTCACGTCCATTCTGAGCATCTGGATCACGCAGCTGAATATCCTCGACAGCAAATTCGGCCTCGCGCTCGCGCAGATTGTGATGAAGGCGTCGGCACCGCACAGATTGAAAACCACGTTGGAAGATGACAAGGTCCGGAAGCTCGAGTTGCTGCCTCTCTGAGTGACGAGTATCTCCGAGTCGGAGACCATCTTGTTCTTCGCCTTGTCTCCGTCACCGCTAGCCTCGGATTGCTGCAAGGCGCTCTTCGCCTTCTCGGACTTTTTCTTGAGAAGTCTTTGCATCTTCTGCTCCAGCGACTTGATATAGGTGATGGCCTCGTCCACAATGGTGGATTTGTCGGCCTGTTGCAGCAATGGAAAAAACCACTCATGATCGTCAGCAATCTGGGCTATCAGAGGAGAAGAAAAGCGCGTACCTTGGATGGAACCTTGGGTAGCATCGAGTGTAGAGTCACGAACATGCTTCTCATCTTCTTGCGCCTCTCTCGCTCCGTCCAGATGTGGACTTCGTGGTCGGGCTCGCCCATCTTGGAAGGGCTGCTGCACAGCGGCGAGGCGGCGCCACCGGTTGTGGTGTCCTGGACGGAGTGGAGGCTGCCGCAATCGCTATCGAGCCTCTTTTCTTTCGCCGTGTTCTTGGAGCTGGCCGCCATGTCCACCACTTCGAGAGGACGCTTGACGCCTTTGTGGAGATGATAGTCCAAGCTGGAGGAGTCGCCCACGGCCTTGCTGGGGAACTGGGAGAAATCCGATGGAGCACGAATCAGGCAGTCCGGCTCAATTTTGCAATGGCTGGATCTTGCGACGAGGCCGCTCATCTCTATGGCGCTGTCGTGCTGCTGCTGCGGCGCCGCCGAGAGCGATTCGACCACGCCAAAGCGCTCGGGATACATCCCCCAGTCTCGGATCCGCGCGTCGGCGTCATAGCGAGCGGTGGAAAACTCCGGCACTATCGTGGAGAATGCAGGCAGTATGCAGCTCGCCATGGCCTTCTTCTGGAGATTTTCTATCGGGAAATGCCTGGATCGATCAAAATATCGAGAATGCAGCAGCAAGAAACAAGATTATGGCGGCGTCTGATCAGATCGAACCTCTTCTTCGCGAAAAGAAGACGACGATCGATTCGAAATCTTCGCGTCGATGCCGCTGCAGTGCTGCAGAACGAAAGGCGCTGCGCCGCAGCGAGCAATGCCGACACAAGATTGCGCTACAAGCTCGAATCAGCAACGCTTGAATCGGCAAAGAGAGAAAGAAGATCTAAAAGAGACACTAGTCGCGAAGAACAAAAGAAGAAAGCGCCATCGCCCAAAGGAGCTTTCCCTAGGCCAAAACAAAGAACACGATCTCTTAAAAATCTCATTACGTACGCGCCCCAGAGTACGGACACTGGAACTTACCAAAGGTCAAAAGAAAGAGTTTAATCTGGGCGGTAGAACCATTGGAGCAATCTCAGCCACTGGTCTCAACTTTGCATCCCAGCCGTTGGGTTTTCCCGATGAGCTCGACGAATAGGGTTCGTGTTCTAGCGCGCCAGGTCGGGGCAATGGCGGGGGGCGCCGTGCAACAATCTCCGCCAGGCGAGGAGGTCGCCGCGCAGGCCGCGTCCCTGTTCAAGGATTCCGGATCGCCAACGATGTGAGTCGAAAATCTCGTCTTCTCTTGCAGTGATCGCTGTGTTTCCTGGCAGATTTGACAAGATCATCGCCAAGGAGATTCCTTCCAAGATCGTTTACGAGGATGACAAGGTCCGGCATTGTTGTTCTAGGCTCTCTTCTCTCGATCTCACTGCTGCGATGTGGAATTTCCAGGTTTTAGCGTTTAGAGACATAAATCCACAGGCGCCGACACACATTCTTATCATTCCCAAGCACAGAGATGGATTGACACAGCTTTCCAAGGTAAAGCTCCACTTTTTTCTATGTTCTATGGCACTTAAGACTAATCCTCCATTTGCCACAGGCAGAGGAAAGACACAAAGAAATCCTGGGAGAACTACTCTATGCTTCGACCGTGGTTGCCAAGAAAGAGAAACTGGACGATGGCTACAGGATTGTCATCAACGATGGACCTCAAGGATGTAAGTCTTGCGAGAGAATTTCCATTTCTTCTTCTTCCATAGCTCTCTTATCTTTGTTTTCACAGGCCAATCGGTCTATCATCTTCATATCCATCTCGTTGGAGGACGCCAGATGAAATGGCCGCCTGGCTAGCTGTAGAAGGAGAACGTAAGCTTCTATTTCTTACTGCAAAAACGACTGCCATCGAATGGAGATTTTTTCTTTGGAAAGTTTTGTGTCTCAACTAGGAGGAGCCTGCGCTGCAAAATCCGGGTACCTCTCTTTCGTCAAGCCGTGAAGCCACCGAGCAAAGACCCCGTCCTTGGCTTCGGTGGAAGCAATGTGGGGATAGATCACCTCGGTCTTAAACTCGGCAATTTCCTTCTCGAACGACTTTAGCGAGACCTCTTCGTGGCTTCCCGCGAATCTCTGGTTATACGCAGTGTACAAGCACTCGTCGAGGAAGAGGCCGAGCTCCGGTGCCATTGGAACTCCGATCTTCGTGTCCCTGAAAGTTTCCGAAACTTAAAGAGACAAGAAAGAACGAAGAACCAAATCTTACCTCCGAAAGGCTCTCTCGAAGATGGTCTCCGGAGCATCACCTCGCATCACCGCCACGGCCAGGCCGATCATCTTGCGGATCTGGTGAAGCATGAAGCTCTGGCCGATCACTGTGCACCGGACAAACTTACAGCCTTGGATCGTGAAAACTTCGCCGGCCTCGTACGAGGTGATATACCGCTGCGTGCTTGGATCCTCCGGCTTGACACGGCACGTAAAGTTGTGGAAGTAGCGAGTCCCAACGTAGTTTTGGAGGATCTTCGTGAGCTTGGCTCGCTCCTCGTCACCGAAAGTGAATCCGGTCTCGAGATCACTGCTTGTGCAGGTGCAAGTCGGAGTGAATCTGCCGGTGGTAGTGCCGGTGGTGGAAGTGGTGTCTTCCTCTACATCCTCGCTGGTGATAGCTTCTCCCAGATTGTCTCCCGGATTGGCTGCTTCGATGGTCGGGCTCTCGACTCGGTGGGAGGCCGGATCCAAGGCGAAAACCGGAAGAACATACTCGTACCTCCGCCTGTCGCAGAGATTCTTGGCACTAAACGTTCCTGTCACCCTCGTGAATCCCAGCACCCGGATCTGCTTTGGGAGATGGGAGTTGACACGCTCCACAAAGCCAGGCGGATCCACGAAGAACCTCCCGGACACCACTTGGCCTGCGGCACTGACTCCCTTGTCCGTCCTCGCAGCTCTCGCCCAGTCGATCTTCCTGGGGTCCCCGAAAGTTGACTCCGCGATGGCACCCGCCTTGAACAGCGCTTCCTCGAGATCGCCCTCGATGGTCTTGCAGCCTTTGTTGCGCTGCATCCCCTGGTAGCCATAACCACTGTAAGAAACGAAGATGGCGATCTTTCTCTTCTTGTAGCGCGCTGGCTTCTTGGCGTCTCTAGTTTCCCTTGTATCCTGGGAAGCTCCTTGCGAAGCTTGTACTCCATCAGGAACAAAGGCAGCGAGATCATCTTCGTCTATCTTCTTTCGTTTGAGCCCAGCTTTTTCTTTCTCAATCTCCTCTTCTTTGCCGAGAGTTTCTTCTTTCGCAACCGCTACTATTTCCTCCAGCTCCCCGCTACCTATTTCTTTCTGGAGATCCACACTTTCTTCCCCAGTACCTCTTAAAGAATTTGGGGCATCAGCGGGAGTAGAATCCCCCTGCTGCTGCCCCTCTTCTATATTTCGGACCTTTAGCTCCATCCCTTCTGCTATTGCCTCTCTTCCAACCGCTGGGAAGCTTTCTTCACTGGAAATTGTAGCAATGCCGTCGACTGCGCTCGAATCCATCGATTTTCTCTACACTAGACCATGGATTTCCACCAGCGCTGCTTCTGGCGCATACCTGGGAGTGCTGTGATTCAGCCGATCTCCGCGTACCAGACCGCCACACCGCACATTTCCCTAGAACCCTAGCCTTCCTTAAACCCTAACCAAATATAGCTCCACATCTGACCGTTGGATTTCCGCTAAACCAAACGTCGAGATCCTAGAACCCTAAAATGCTGTGCCATGGTTTTGCAGGGGAGGAGATCGTTGGCGATATGGGGCGGAATAACGCTCGCCGCGATCGCGAGGCTGCTTTTACTGATGTCAGGCGCTTCCGCGCGGCTCAGTCGATCGGTGGAAATCGCTACTCCGGTCACTAGTCTCGTTCGATGTAAGGCTGATTGCTTGATCACGATGAGCTACATTTTCATAGATATTTCCAGTGGAGGAGGGATTTTGGCTCAAGAAGCTGGGATTGTCTCCTTATGCCGGTGAGAAAACACTTCCTTGTTCCATTTTTCTCTAGCTTGCTAGTTTGCTACAGGATCTGTTTATCATGGATCTCCATTGCTGCTGGAAATCATCGGTCCGCTTGGCGCAAATAGGTGAGAGGATATTTCCAAATTTTTCTCAAGGAAAAGCCAACGTTGTCTCGCTGTGACAGCCCCATTCTTTTTCTTCTTTCGGATTTCGCTACGGCTCTGTTGATAATTCTCATTGGAAAGCGTCTCTCCGCTGCTCGCGATCACTACACTCGTCTTCTGGAGCTGCCAATACCTTCCCAAGGCAAGAGAAAAGTAAGATTGGAACATTGGAATCACATATTCCATGCTTTTTCTTACAGGTGAAACGCTTGACATTGGAGAGATAGCCGCGCTACTCTATCTTTTTAATCCCTTCACAGTCTTTGTCTGTGTTGGAGGATCGACGTCGTCTTTCGAAAGCTTCGTTGTATGCTTGGCTCTCTACGCTTCGTTAGAAGGTGCGGCATATCAAACGTTGGAATTTATTTTCTTTCTTTCGAAACCATATTTTTCTATGCAGGAAATGCTCCGCTTGCTGCTTTTGCGTGGGTGATGGCTTCGCACTTCGCAATGTATCCTCTTGTTCTGTTAATTCCGGTAACTTCACGCACTTTCGATCTAGCAACTCACATTCTTTGCGTCTTCTTTTTGAAGATCGCGTCGGCGCTGTGTTGCGGACCAGACAAGCCCCGCTCCAAAATATTCAGGCTAAAGTCTTCAGAATCTCTGAAGTCCTCGACCAACGTTCAATGGCAAAAGCTCTGGAGCTTTATCCTCTGGTCAGCCGTCTGGTCGTCTTGCGTACTGGGATTGTGTAACCGGATTCTTCGTCACGATGGAGGTCTCGGAGAAATGCTAAGAGAGTAAGCGTTCTTTTTTTCTCGCTCGTTCTCTTTGGTCGCTTTGAATAAAGCTTTACATCTTTTGCAGGACGTATGGCTTCATTTTAACTGTCAAAGATCTCACTCCAAACATTGGAGTGTATTGGTACGTAGTCCTTTTGTTTTCTTACTACAACTACCTCGCTTCCTCAATCCTTGCTTTCAGGTACTTTTTTACCGAGGTGTTCGACTTCTATCGGTCATTCTTCCTCATGGTGTTTCATGGCAACATATTTTGCATGATAGCACCACTGTCTATATGCTTCTATCACCGACCGATTTTCCTTTCTTTTATTTTAATGGCGGTTGTCTCGACTCTAAAGTCTTACCCCTCGGTAAGATGTCTCCTTGCAACTTAAGCGTTCTTATATTGCTTTGCTCAGGTTGGAGACGCGGCGTTGTATTTGGGACTGATGGGCCTTTTTACTCACGAGCTCTCTGGTCTGTATTCCTTTGGATTTGGATCAGAGGTTTATGGAATTTTTGCTTCAGATTTTAAGTACGCGTTCCTTCTCCTCAATTCCTACATTTGCGTTGCAGCTCTTGGGCCCGTGATGTTCAACCTATGGATTTGGAGGGTATTTATTTCTTTTCTTGTTCATCAATAATTTCATGCCTCTTTCTTCTTTTCCTTCTTTTCTTCAGGGAACAGGAAATGCCAACTTCTATTTTGCGACTGCTTTGGCCTATGCGTTTGTCCAGGTAAACGCGGTCTTTCTTTGCTAAGCTAGCTAAAGGAAACTCGGCAGACAATTTTGATCGTTGAAAGCGTCAACTCGATGCTACGCTTCGAGCGAGGCCTCAAGCTGACAATCAAAACAACACTGTCAAGCTCTAAGAAAGACAACTGAAAACCTGTGAGTTACTACAACTTTTACATATTTTTATTGTTTCAAGTGGCCAACAGCTTTTAGAGGCGGCGATCTTAGCACACCGAATTGGAGATCACTGACGTTAAGCCTTGATTGCTGCCATAAGTTAATCCATATGTGCATAGTACTTGCTACTTGCTATAAACGATTTGCTATGCTCATTGTTAGAAATAGTATATAAAAACCACCAGACAATTCTGTGGGCAATACATGGCATCTTTAAATTGGACAGTGCCTGCGCAGAGACACAACTGATTTACTTTACATTCAAGCTATCAAACGGAACATTTCAGTCTCTATCAACTTTGGCCGAATGAAGTTAACGTGGATTGTTGGGGTCGCAAGCAGAGCCATGCTGTGAGGGATTGACGATAAGGTTTCTCTTCTTTGAATATTTCCATGTCCACACGTTATGAAGAGGATATTGTCGTTTAAAAGCGAGCTTCATCGATCTGCTTGATTATTTTTTTCTTCTTTTTCCACTTCGAAGAATGTCAGAAACAGAAGCATTGCTGCTGATGGTATGCTTCTTACTTGCTCACGCAGCAGCAGATCTCAATGAGGAGATGAGAGATTTTCTCCGAGACGTGAATCCTCCGTTTGTCATAAATCATACGGTTTGTTTTTTCGTTTTCAGATCCTTGTGAACAGTTATCAAATCGAGACATCATCCTCTGCGTCCCAATTAAAAATCAACTGTCTCTAAGAAACCAGACACTGCAGCTTCGGGTAAGTTGTCCAACATGGATGAAAACTAATGATTTCTCGTCTAGCCTGCTCAAATGATGAGCAAACAAGAGCACAATGGATCAGAAAATTCCGGTCAGCTGTTTGGTTTAGAAGTTGGATCGTGCAAGGAAAACACAATACCGGTGTTGCACACTTCGAATACCATAGTCGCAAGATTTGATTCTGTGAGGAAGCTAACCAAAAAACATTCCTCTGGAAAAAATCGAGTGCCATTGGCTGATGAAGAACCTGGCGTAGAAACTCATGAGGTACTACAGTAATCTAGCAGGATCTGATCAAAACTCTCAAGAGTTGACAATACTTTGCATGATCACGACAGCATGGCTACAACCAGTTGAACGGCAACTTCCAAGGGATGGAAACAACTATAAATGTTTGGGAGCCATACGTGGAACAAACTTCCGAGTTCAGTCTGTTGCAGTTGTGGATTATCTCAAACAAATTAGGCCCAGGTACTCCATAACACCATCCTTGCCACAGTGAAGCAGGATGGCAGGTGTGTTGAAATTTAGATGTTTCTATACTGAACCTTGCTTGAAGGTTTATCCTAATTACTATGGAGGAACTGGGCCTCGACTCTTTGTCTACTGGACGGTAAATCAGATTGGTAATAAAACCTTTTATAAGCGTTGTCAATGGCAGGCTGATGGCTACAGAAATCAAGAAACTAGGAAAAATATCACAAGCAATCTCTCATGCTAGTAATCTCCATCAACACATTGTGACTGGACTCATGCTTAAGGATTAGCATGAGGCCTTATGCTAAAGTGCTAAAAAGATTTTGATTTGTCTAGTTTCTTGATGGTAATCTTGCTCAAATGTCTGTCCATGGGACAAGTAATATTATTATCAAGGAATTGGCAAAAACACCCCATCCATTCCTAAGTGTGAGGCTTTATGCTAATAACCTCCTATAGAATTACCTCCACTGCCCCTTTCTTACGAGTCCTCATGCTATTAACCTCCTATAGAATTACTTCCATTACCCCTTTCACTTAGCATGAGGCCTTACACTAGGATCCATTCTCTCCCATTTCAAAAATATTTTAAGTAATTCTAATAAGTTCTTTCATGTTTCTAGGCCTAACAATCTAAAACACTTCTACATGAGTCCATCAAAGTGAAAAGAGGCTGCAACTCCACATAACCACAAAAGTGGACATTAGAGATACAAGATGATGATCTAGTGTTGGTGGATCTTACCAACCCAAATAGTCCAATAGTCTATGGGATTGTCATCAAAGAAGAGGAGATTCTTAACAAAGACATGAACAAGGAAGGAGGGCCATTTATACAGAGCTTCAAAAGACATTCATCAGGAATATTGTTCAAGACTCAGAGTTTATTCTGTCAACTACAATATAGTTTGCAAAGAAGGAATTGATACAACCTTCATTGCTTATGGAATCCTCAAGGACAGACTAACTTTGTCAAGAGCATTGTTGTTGTGGATAGTCAACAATAGGATTCTAATTGAGAGACTTTTTGATTAGAGGGAAATAGAAAAATTGGAGCATCCATTCCATGACCTCTCCAACTACAATCCAAATGATAAACATAATGTCAATCAGGTTGTTGATGATAAACATACATTAAGCAATACATCCTCATTAACATCAACGTCCAATGATTAGGAGAGTGAGGATGATGAAGACAAGGTACAACACAATGATAATGAAGAGGATAATAGTGAGACAAAAAGTGACAAGTGATAAAATTCAAGACAAGAGTCCTTCCTCATCATGAAAAGAAGAAGAAAATGATGATGAACCACCACAGAAGAGGATTAGATGTAAACTTTGGAGCAAGGTTGCAAGCAATAATGCATGGACGAGCCAAGGACAAAAACCTCCATACAAAGCAAGAAAAAAAAGTGTCACACAATAAATAAACCAAAAGATGGTAGAAATGAAGGCTCCAAAAAGAAGAGCAAAAGGGTGAAATGATGACAGCACAATTACAATAATAGGGGTGAAAAAAAAGACTAATGTCGACAAGACACCCTTGTTGAAGTACAAGCACTACTACTTCAATGATCAAACAATCTACAAACTCCTAATGTCTTGGTGCATCATTGATGCAACTCTTTGTTCACAATACCCTCAAAGAGCTAATGATTGTATAAGAGAACTCAATGGATCTAGGTGATGCAATCCCAATCACTATGGACAAGGATGGTTAGACATTTGTCGAAAGGATAGGCAAGGAAACAACAAAAAATCCAACAGTCAAATTCATTGTCATGTCTAGGCGGCACTTGACAAAAGCAATGCAAGAGATCTCTTTTGATCTAATATACACGAAGAAGATGCAGGCAAAATTCTCAATATGATACTTCTAAATCATGAAGGGGTCAACACCACAGGATACCATTATTGAGATATCCAATCTTGTGAACCAGCATAAGAGTAGCCTCAATGACAATCTTGTACATAGTCGCCACAACTAGAAGAGTGTAAGTGACTAATTTTTCCATTCTACTTTAGTTATTTAACCACACCTTTGACCACTTGGAGGAGTCTTATTCACAACCTCCATAAGTTCAATTCAGAATTTGGGATTTGCTAGATCCAAGAATGGCATCTATGCTACTTAACTTTTGGACTTGGTCCAAGTGCTTCACATGTTTGATCCCATGATCAACACCCCAAGGTACCACCAACATATTAGCCCGTTACGCTAAGGCCATGCTTATTCACTTTGGTCACATTGGTGGTCCAACACTACTTGCATCGCAGTCCCATCTCTCAAAGACTGGGCCATCTGTCTATGAAAGACCATCTAAGATCCATTCCCTAGTATCCCACTACCACTGGAACAAAGCCCACAAGCCCGACCACTAAGTTCCACTGTCCTTTGGGACTTCCTTACCACATGACCATATCCTTGGTCACTACACTAAAGGACCATTCCTCTTCCTTTCCATAGTCTAGGACTTTAGGACAATATTTTGGAACATCATGGCCTTATGTAAGCCTCATGGGTACTCTCCCCACTTTCTGCCTTTGGGTGCTCTAACTATGGGCTTAGAGTGAGGTTCCGTTTAGCCACGCCAGATATCCAAGTAGGTAGTGCCACCCACGCTTGGACTGGGAGCATCAACCATTCAATCTCCCGGGGGAACTAAAGCCGGCTCTTGAACACTTTACCAAGTTACCCCCCTTATCAATTTGTATTCACTTTAGCTTTGGACTTCCCAGTGGTTATCTCATCACCCAACAGCTCAGACACCATCTCGGGTCCATCTCGGACTCCATCTCAGGTCCATCTTAGACTCCATCTCAGGTCCATCTCGGGTCCATCTCGAACTCCATCTCAGACTCTATCTTGGGTCCATCTTGGACTCTATCTTAGGTCCATCTCGGACTCCTTCTTGGACACTTTCATATATCATGTGTTGGTCCTCTTGTGTCCCTTTTCTAGAGACTCCTTTATTGCTCACTTCATGCTTGTTCTTCAAACACTTCGTTGGGAGTTCCACTCCCACTCTCGACCTTTCAAGTTGGAGTTTTTAGTCCAAACATGTTATGCATATTTGGCTTTCGCTTTAGCCACTACCACATGGCACACTTTTGGCTCCATTTTGGGGCTTAGGGATTTGTGTCTCACAACTCTACCACCCATAGATGAATTTCGATGTCTTCATCGAATGATAAATTATTTTATAAAGTAATACTAGTATGTATTACCCTTTCCATCCTTGGCACCTAGCCAATATTCGTCAATTGTTTGACACTGAAGGCTCATTATGCCTTGTCCATCCTCCAAAAAGCATAATCTCTCTAACATAAAGACTCGATCGACCACCTATGGTGGTTCTCTCCCTTTCATTGGTTTAGTTTTTACTAAATCTATTTGAGATGCTTCCTCTATCTCAATCCCATTACTTATTCTTGAATAGTCTCAACTTCTATTGATATAACCATTTCACTTTAGAACTTTTGACAAAAATTCAACAGTCAAAAAGGAAACTTTGTTACATCCATAGATGTAGTTTAATATGCCAACTATAAAAGCAAGAAATCTAAAAGATATCAATCAAATGAAGTACCTACATGGCTGCTTGTAAATAATCAAATAGAAGAGAAGGAAATGTTTTAAGAGAGACACCTAAGCTCAGGCTAAATACATATATATGGATTTACTATATATGACTATACCTGAATTTAAAATAACTGAAATAATAATAATTATGCCTTTTTAAACTAAATTTCTTAAATAAACTTAAATATGGATTGTTGTGCACTCAACGTCGTCAACACATTATCTATGCCGTTTCCCTTACTGTCACCAATAGAGAATCCAGTCACCTACCAAAGGAAAACCAGAATCGTAAGACTCCCTTTGTATCAAAGTCTAGCTGAATCGCACTTGGAAAGCCTCCTTTACCACTAAATACTAGTGATCACATCTTTCTCGTACACTTTTTGGTATGCCTTACAGCTGCAATCTGCTCGATCATACCAAAATTGGAGCCGATAATAACACTTGAGGCATATATATCCATCGGATTAGACTTTTGATATGAGAGAGCTGATGAATTGTCCTTGTCCGAGAAAAATACATATCCAAAGTTCGTTCGAGCATACTCTACAAAAAACAAAAATTAAAAATAAACGAAAAATGTATAACGTATGGACTTACTTTCATCGCCAGGCTGCTCATTGTCCTTGATAGCAATCAGTCGTCGGACGTCACTCTTAAGATTTCGAACGACTTCCGACCAATCCGCAATGGCTGGCTTAAGAGGGTCTCCAGAGCACTTGCTTTGGATGTACAAAAGAAATGGCTCCAAATCAATGCCTTTTACTTCCTCGAGTATCAGGAAGGTATCAGCCCCGCTGTTCCGAGGTCCACAGATGGCCCAAGTCCCTGACCTTTGAACCTCCTCCTTTGAGCCTGGACTACTGTGTTTGATCCGAAACCAAAAAACTAAAAACAAGAACATACCTGGACTTAGTTGCTTGATTGAAACTGGAAAAGTGGGGAACCTGAACTTTCGGTTCTTCAGATTGTCAGGGATGTACCAATCGCAAGGCAACACATCCGCCAGCATGAAGGTGTCTGAACCCCCCGATAGTAACTGCAAATAACATGTTAGTAACCGAGACTATGAAAGACTATGAACGTAGAATTCACATACCTTATGAATGTAGATGCTGAAGATCAGAGACAACAAATCGTTGTCTTCCTTCTGCTTCCAATCATCCGTTGACATTGTTGTCAAATCAAAAGTTGTAGAGCCAAAAAGGTCCTCCCGCTGGAGTGTTAGCTTATGCAGTAACACAGGTGAAAACTCCACCAGAGCCTTTTCTTCGTCAAGAACCACAGCCACTACTCCACAACTCTCCAGAGCTTCCCATGTCAAAACATTCTCTCTTGGAAAGGCCTGCAGCAGAATCGGTCCATTCCTTGAGACATGCTCACGAAGCATCGATGCTTGAATTGCTCGTAAGAGATAAGAAAATCTCTCATCCCCGGCAAAGCCATTGTAATACTTGAATCTTCTGCATAGGCTCCACACACGATCCAGAATCTGCCTTACTTTGTCTCTCAGGAAGGGCTCCTGAATTCTCAGCGCAAGGTTGTCAATGTCAAGGGCCATGTCTGGGTCATCTGAAGCCAAAGCCTGAACCATGAAGGTAATCAACCTCGGATTCCCTCCGCTCAGCTTGCACAACAGCTGCATGCCATCATTTAAAGCATGAAGTTCTTCACGGTTTGAAGTCCTCAGCACCTTGTTAAAGACTTGCAACACCAGCTTCTCCCGATCGCTGCTGCTGAGAGGGTTGACAGGAATATAAATCA